AATTACAGCTACATATGAATCGATACCATCCCATTAATAGAACATCGACTGAGTTATGAGATGCGAGTATTGCATTGGTAATTCTCCGAGTCGAACAACCTACTAGAGGGCCAAGGATGTGTATCGATGAAATATCTGGATCTCACATTGTACCAACAATCCTATTTGGGAATAAAGCAGTTCAGTCGTGGTTTGAGGCTAATAATCAACCAGTTTCTCCAACATATTGACTGACACCCATTAAACAAGGGATTTGTGTCCTCCCTAACCGCCCATTTGAACTCCAAGCTCTTTGACTTAGAGTAGGGTCAACCACTTTTTCATGGATTCATATCTTCGACTGAAAGGGCCGGTGCAGACCCGTCTAAATCCTTTCATTGAGTCACCCTTTGAGGCCGAAGCGGGTGGTTTGTTTACCAATCTTGACATATATTTCTTCCACATCGATGATCACCTCTCTCAAGCACTGCGCAAATTGGCTTTCCAGTCTCTCTGGCAGGTCTTTTGGGAATTGTTTGGCATCGGACGAAAGCGTTAGGATCCAGGCCACGGATGTATGATAACGGGGATGAAGATAGTAAGAAGGTTGTCGCAATTCCTGTAGGAAAGGAGCCATCGACTGAGAGACTTCTGCTAACTTAAGTGAGGTGATCAATAAAATATTGCAGGATAGATGGACACGAGAAGCTTACTTGTAGATGACCAGCCCCGACCTCCAAGGTTAGAAAGGAACGAGTTCCTTCTTCATTATTCAAAACTGAAAAAGAAGAAAATGACAGGTGGAATCTGTTGGTTCAAGTCAGCATAAACTCTGCATCTATCAGAAACAGAAAACAGGTCTATTTGTTAAAAGGACTGACTTGCTGCAACTTTTTGCAATATTTCGTATCACCTCCTTTAATGGGTCTCTCTGATGGGCTCGAAGATAAATAGGGCGGGAAAGGCTCAAATGAAGTTCTTGTCTCTCTCTATCACTATCTTGGCTACCTGCGGAAGGTCCCAAGTCTATCAAAGGGTGTAGCTCCAGGTCTTTACACATTTGCTTAGCTGACTCCAGTATCTCGTTGATAAGGCCACCTAGCACTGATAGTGGTATCGTGACATAGACATGGCTAGCAAACTGCCCGTCGACGAAAGGCTGTGATCTGACGCGGCCTTGATGCAGTGAAGGATCATCTTGAGGTATGATAGGGGATAAAGTAGAAGGCAGCTTTGGTAAAAGCTTCCTATCTAGGCCGTAAATTTTTCTGACACGTTGTTTAAAACATACCGCATACCTTTTCTTGACTGGATTTGGAGGAACCACCTGCTCCGTTCCATCCTCCAACTCTGAGTCTGTTGAATATGAAACCAGAGGACGTTTCATCCAAGCCCTCTCCTGAGTATCACTTGGCGCCGATGGGTGCGTACCAAGCCGAGGACAGTCAGAACTCCTGTAATAATAAATCAATAAGATATGAATCATCTGCTGAAATACTCATCTACTTGGTCAAAGTGATGTCGCTTTCTTCACGACCGAACTAAAATACTCCAAAAGTGGAAAGGATCGACGATGAATACCACCATTGACCTTTCTAGACCCTTTACTTCCTAGACAAGGATGCTATAGTTCGTCATCATCTGGGTTTATCTTATCCTCTAAGTTTTTCGGAGAAATTATTTCTGTGAACTTATATAGGCACATGAAATGAGATTGAGAGTGAGAGGAGAATAAAAAACGATAACAAACACAATCTAAACGCTACATTTATATCAGAAACCATGGATGCCTTCGATCATCACAAGTGCCGGCATCATTAGCATTATTGATGACTGGTGCGCACAATTCCTTAGATATCATTAGCCCAAGCCGCAACCTAAAAGTTTCTGAGTCAATCAAATATAAAAAGTGACCAAAACTGAGACTGACCCAAGAGAAGCCATTGAATTCTGCTTGGTCCTTGGCTGTAAGTTGGCCATGCACTGGTGTGAGGGTTGGCTGCTCCCTTGTAAATTCCGTATCGAAGTTGCTGACATCTCCAGGAGATTTCTAG